AAGAAAATCAGAGCTGAACCACTTAAATCTGACTTTACTATTGACCTGAAACATGAGGTAAGTTTTTATTGCTTTAGTCATCATTATTATTATTATTATTATTATTATTATTATTATTATTATTATTATTATTATTATTATTATTATTATTATTATTATTATTATTATTATTATTATTATTATTATCATCATGATATATTATTATTATTATTATTATTATTATTATTATTATTATTGTTATTATTATTATTATATATTATTATTGTTATTACATCTTCCAATAGTTCTTAGAAGTGAGTGTGAAATGACTCAGTTCTCTGAAGTCTCTGTGAGCCCACTACTTTATAATCTATTTTCACAAAAAAAAACACAGCATGAAATCCATCTAACCTTGAAATAAAATCTCATTACTCTGGAGAACTGTCACGCTGCAGCGTTGAGGTTCTTATTTTTTATCAGAGACATCTGAGATTTTCTTTTTTTTGTAAACACTATATCAGACATATCAGGCTTAGTCTGGAGGAGAGGTGTTCCAGGAGGAGATTCTCTGAAGTCTGTAGATTTTTAAAAGGATTCTGGTATTAAAAGGAAGTAGGGGCTGCAACGATGGCTTTTTATTTGTTAATGATATAGGTTGATGTTAGTTTTCTTCTTTAAATGGCTTGACGTGTTATTATAATAATGTTTGATTGGCCTGTTTTCCACCTATTTCTTCTCCTCTATCTTCCTCTCATTTTCTCTTGAAAAACCTTTGATTTGATCAATGGAATTTTATTCACAAAACAAAATAATTTATTAGTAATTCATAGATTGCAGTTTTTTTTATATTGCGTTCCACGTTTAGCTGATAAGCCTGATTTGCTTGAACAATTTGTATTATTGAAGGTTGCTTTGTACATCTGGGACAATGGGAAGGGCCCACATCTGGTAGCTGTTCCTGAATTCTGCACTGATCCAGTGGATTCTCCTCACACCCAGCACTGTGCAACCACTCTGAGAAAAGAGCCTCCACTCTGTGTGAGTATCTGCTCAGTATGACTGTCTGGAAAGAGTGCAAAACGGAATGACCACATAAAAAAGTGATATTAATGAAGTAATTAGGCAATGAGGTATTATTTTCAGCCTTTGAAGAAGTAATCACTGAGACAAAATATTCAAATGTATCAAGTTTGAGGGTGTGAGGTGATACTTCTTAATTTTCTTCTCACTGTTCTGTTATAACTATATTTCATCACTGATTAAAAGCCTTTTATTATTGCCTGCACAATAATCCATCATCTTCTTTTGTTAAAAAAAAATCACTTTCTCTCTCTCTCTCTCTCTCGCTCTCTCTCTCTCTCTTTCTCTTTGTTTTTTCATACATTAGATTTTTTTATTACATCAAGCTACCAAAATTGTAGATTTCAATCAGCTTTTAGCCCTAAATCTTTAAAATATACTGCGTTTCTGTCTATCTTTAATTTCATAAGTAGAGCTGAAGGCAGCCTCACAGTTACCTCAGGGCATTTGCACAGAGATTTTCAGTATAAAGATA